GGAAAATTTTGCCTAATTTTGATTCAAGAGTTTGTTGAAAAAGTTTTCACATCAAAACCTGTGGAAGTTTACCCAAAAGGTAGTGAAACCCTGCCTGATAAGTGGTAACAATTCATTGCAAATAATAGTGAAAATATAACTGAATAAAATGTAATTGTACTTTATTTTTTGATAAGCAATAATGGGAATTATGCATGACTGAATCTAATTCTAAGAGGATTGGGTATTTTCTGATTAAGCATGTGTGGATATTTTAGAACTAAGTTGCCATTAATGATTTTACAACTTGTGTTTCATTAAAATTTAAATAAATTTCTACCAATTGCAACATTTGGGTTTAAGTTAAGAGGATATAAAGTTTGTCCCTTTTCCATTTGTTCAGATGATTTGGAACATCATCAATCACAACTCATGTAAGTTAGTATTCATCTTTGTACTATGTAGAAGTCACTAATTATGAAAAACAGGATGCACAAAAGAAATCCCATCACCTGAATCTGGACACTCATATAGTTCCCCTACATGAATACAAACATTAGGTTTAAGGCTCCAGAATTTCAATACTAGTTGGCTAAAATGTTGGTTAAAATATATCAAATTCTCTAGTAGTCATGAATTAAGTTTCTGGGTTTGCTAGTGTTGAAAAGTCACATTCTCAGTTCAGTAGAGTGGAAGAAATAGTGAATATTAACTGATATGAAAGCAGAATGAGAACATTCCACCTCTATGGATTGAATAAAGAGTTTGGTTTGAAATTCTAAGCAGACTACTAAGTATGATGACAAAGACTTGAAGACAGTTGGATGGTACATTGGCCAAAACATTGTAATTATAACAACCAAAATTATCATGCTGGTCTAAATGTAAAGCATATAATAAACTTTTTTTTTTCTGATGCAGTGTTTAGACCCTTCTGCTTTCACTTGAACACATGATTATTATTCATTATTGATTAGTTTTTCTTTCATCTTAAACAAAATAATTTGCCTTGCTTGATTCCTGTTTTTGGTTAGTAAAATATAACATATCTACACCATACCAACAAAGTGAGACATTTATACATATATAGAAGGCTTTATTATCAGAAGAATTTGGTTGTACTGGTTCGGTAGATATATGAAAGTTCTTGTAATATGGTTGTTAGCAAATGTTTCTGATTTTTGTGTTTGTTGTAGTGAATGAGTAAATTCTTTACAAGTGATAAGTCTGTTATTAAAAGGTAATATTAAACATGAGAAAGTGATATTTGTGTAAAACTTACTTGTGGTCTACATTCCTAGAGCAGCTCAAATCCATGTGCTCTCTTTGTGAGAAGCCGATGAAAAGAGGAGGTCTCTAAATTTCCTGCCGGTAAGGTGGTTTCCTTTTTTTCTAAGGAATCATGGAAATTAGGGTTTTTTTTATTTATCATGATTGCAAGATCACTACAGATTCATCTAAGGATGACTTAAGAACATATTAACTTTTAAATTCATACTTTTTGAGCAGTTCATTTTCTCATTCTGTGGATTATCCTAACTACAAGAGGAAGCTGAGAAGTTCTTGAGCTGACCCACTTCTCAAAATCAGTATTTCAATGAGCAAAGATCAAAATATTGATTTTTGGGAAGTTGGTCAGACAGAAATTTTCAACACACCCTTGAACTGTGTTTCAACATTGTTAGTTTAATCACAAATCTTTGTCTGGTTTGTTGTCCAGTTTTCTTGTGGTGTATATCACTTTGGGTTATCTTCAAGAACCTTTGAACATAACTGTTTGATCTCGCTAAAAATGTTCTAATTGGACAAAAAGCAAGATAAAAGGTTTCATTTAAAGCTCTTTGATATAGCATACACCTGAAGAAGATACGAGGTGGCACCAGCTGAAATGGTATGATCAAAACAATAAAGATGATGATACTATTCCAAATAATTCCTGAAATAATAACAATACTTCATCTAGGAAATTCAGACAACTATTATATTCTGATGATGTCAATAAGCAGCTGAATGATAGAAACTTTTACGCACTAAATGAAAGAGCTTCAGTTCAGTTTATGGTGTATAGGAATTTCATTAAGTGCAATTCATCCAGAGTATATGGATAACTGAAACATCATCTTTTTGGCAAACAGAACTAAGGAGTGTCTATATTTTTGAGATGAAGTCTTGCATTAATTTACATTATTTACATTGTTCAGACTGTTGTCCTCATCTTTATTTTTATATTCACAACATTTCGGCCATTGTACACATTGAAGAAGGCAGGAACATACAAATGCTGAAAATTCATGAACATGACAATAAAGATGAGGACAACAGTTTGAATGATGTAAATAATGTTAAAAACCAAGGAGATTTTAATCCTTCAGCATCTATTCAGGACAATTTTTAAAAAACTATCATCAAAAACATGAAACCCAAACTTCAAACTTTTCTTTTTTCATCATTTCATCCCAAGCAAAACAATAAAACCACTAAGACACAAGGGGTTAAGGCGAAAGAACAATAAAAGAACAGAAGATAACAATTGATATTGCATTTAAATATTTGAAGATCAAAGTTGACTGGAAAGCAAGAAGCTAGAAGCAAGATCTACAAATGAGAAGTGCAAGAGAAAAAACTGTTAGCATAGAACTTATCTAGCCAACTCAACTGTAAAATGATGAAACCTTGCCACCAGTCAACTACTGTGCTTAAATTCATAAAGTCTAGAGGAAAGTTCTTTAGACCAATTACCATAAAAGTACTTAAAGAAAAGACAAAGGGAAGTTACATTATGGCAGTGACTGAAGTCAACATGCCACATTGCAGATTCTTCTTTGGATCTTATTAAGAATCTCTAAATACATAATAGAAGCATCAGACAAGATGTGACAGCAATATTCAATGCATAGACAAATAGTAAACTTATAACTGTGTAATATAGATACTGGTGAGAAAAATTGTCTAGCACAACTCAGTGACCCAAACTTCCCAGCAGCTGACCTAGAAAGTGAATCCATATAATCTTTCCATTTCATAAAATACATATAGCTATACAAAAGCGGTTTACAGGGCATGATGTGTAAATTGTCACCATTTTGTATTTTTAATATCATGCATGCACATTGTTTAGAAACAGCATACTGTACTGCTTGGCATTCACACCGGAATCTCCAATACAAACATTTCAGAATTTGTGAGTGTCAATCTGTGCAGAGGATTCGGAAAGAGTTGGATGAGTCTAATGGTGATTACAAAGGTGTTTGGAGTGATCACTAATGATGGTGAAGTTATGCCTCCATTCATCTTCCCACATTTCAACATGGAGGCCTACATCAAGTGCCTTGAAGAGGTAGTGCTGCTCTGGGTCAAGAGGGTGGCTGCTGGAAGATGCTATGTCTGGCAACAGGACTCTGCACCATGCCACACAAACAGGAGAACCCAGTCATGACTGCCTGACAATTTCTGTGACCACATCACCCCTTATATCTGACCACCTAACTCCCCAGACTACAACCCCCTTGATTATTAGGTGTGGGGTACAGTTGAGCAAGAGACTAACAAAACTCCTTGTAACATCAAAGATGAACTGAAGACAAGGATTATGGCAGCATTCACCAACTTAATCAAGGAGACTGTCTGGAAGAGTTACAGGAGATTCCAATTTCTCTGGAAGCCATGGTTGAAGCCAAGGGCAATTTCATTGAATAAATTTACTTTTTAGTATTTCAAGATATTTTTGTGTAATTTTGGTAAATATATCTGTTCAAATGAAATGTCATTTATTTTCATTTTTACATAATTTAAACGGCAATTTATCCATTGCACTCTAAGACTACAAACAAGTCACTTGCATCTTGAAAACACTGATGACAGAAAGCATCATGGCTGTTATAAGTATGTGACAAAATACTTACCATGTATTTCCGTGTATAAGGCAAATATTAAATCTTAATAATTACTCACCAATTAGGGGGTCGTCTAATACAACAGTTACAAAAAGCTAACCTTTAATCTTGTGGTGTATCGGAACTGGTAAGTAGGCTAGTATGCTTGCTCCATGGGTTACTGTAGGCTAACAACTGACTCAGAATGGTAACTACTGATGTAAATATTTCTTGTTGAAACAATTCACATTATAATGCTGGACTACAGTTATAAATGGGATAAAACTACTTTTACTTCTAGATTTCGCATTAAAATGTAATATTCAAGAGACGATTACATCACAATTTGCAAATGTTCTGCTGAGTAATATGCACGAATTATAAGTAACATAAACAAATCTTTGATTCTTGATTTGTAGGGCTATAAGCGCATTCACACCAATGATTATTTTTTTATTGTAGTGTTAAATGATATGCAATCTATATTTCTAATTAAAATTCTTTATAATTTTGGTGTTAAATAGCATTTAATATAACATGCAAATTTTATTTTTCAATAACATACATTATATGGTATTTTTTGCGGTGTTAAACAAGATGCCATAAAATTTTTATTACTCAGTACAGAATAAAAAACATAAGACATCCACATGCATAATTAAAAACCTTCGAAAGTACTATGATCATCAATATCCGATGGAAAGAGCTCATCATAAATATATTCATTTCCAGTTTCATGATATGGATCCCAGTCAGTCATATTATACTACGGATATCAGATAAAATCAAGAAAATGTACCTAGATTTTTGGGTTCCTCTTATCTGTAGGTCACCTAATATATGGAAATATGCAGTAATTTAAAGAAAAAATAGTGTAAAGTTGAATTAAGAATAATCATAATATTTGCTTTTCTTTATTTGCATTTCAATAATTCATTATTTACAATTCCAAATTTAAATGAAATGAAATTTCATATATAACTACAAATTTAGAAAATAAAAAACAAGATCAGGACAACACCACATATGAGACTGTTGGAAAAAGGGTAAAGTAAAATTTACAAAAATTTCATTAAAACAAAGAAAATAGCACTGAATTATTATGTAATATAAATCCTCCTACATAGCAGTGAAGGTTGGACAATTTCCTCAAAGATGAACAGGAGAATTGATACTGAAAGGGAGATAGATAGATAGATAGATAGATAGATAGATAGATACTGACAGGCAGATGGTTAGATCAATACATATATAGATACTGGTAATCAGATAGATAAATAATGATAGATACTGATATGCAGATAGATAGACACTGGCAAATCAGTAGATAGATAGATAGATAGATAGATAGATAGATAGATAGATAGATAGATAGATAGATACATACTGATATGCTGATAAATAAATAAATAAATAGGAAGATAAATACAGACAGGCAGATAGAGAAATACTGATAGATAGTTAGATATTGACAAGCAGATAGATACATAGAGATATAGATAGATAGATTGATAGATAGATAGATAGATACTTAGATACTAACAGGGAGATGGGTAGATAGATACATACATACATATATAGATACTGATAGATAGATAGATAGATACATAGATATATAGATAGAGAGATAATGATAGGCAGAGAGATGCCAGTATCAATCTATCTATATGATAGATTGATACTGACAGGCAGATAGATAAATATATAGATATTGATAGACAAATAGGTAGATACTGACAGGCAATTCACAAAATAGATACTGATAGGTAAATATAAAGATAGATAGATAGATAGATAGATAGATAGATAGATAGATAGATAGATAGATAGATAGATACTGAAATGCAGATGTCTAGATAGATACATATATAAATACTGGTAATCAGATAGATAAATAATGATAGATAATGATATGCATATAGATAAACACTGGTAAATAGGTAGGTAAATATAAAGATAGATAGATAGATAGATAGATAGATAGATAGATAGATAGATAGATAGATAGATACTGATGGGCAGATAGATATATAAATGATAATTAGATAGATAGATTGATACTAACAGATAGATAGATAGATAGATAGATAGATAGATAGATAGATAGATAGATAGATAGATACTGACAGCAGATAGATTTTTAGACAGTTATATAGATATTGACAGGCAAATTGTTAGATAGATAGATAGATAGATAGATAGATAGATAGATAGATAGATAGATACTGGCAGGCAGATAGATAGATTGATAGATAGATTGATAGATAAGTATTTACTGTCAGGCAGATAGATACATGGACATATATAAGGATAGATACTAACAGACAGATCAAAGCCTAGATAGATATTGATACTGACAGGCAGATAGATAGATACTTAGATACTGACAGATAGATATATAGAGAGATCAATACTGACAGGCAGATTGATATATAGTTAGATAAATTCAGACAGACAGATAGAGTGATACTGATAGCTAGATACTGATGAGCAGATAGATACATAGACATATTTATAGATATATACTGACAGGCAAATAGATACTTAGATACAGATAGATAGATACTGACAGGCAGATAGATACATGGACATATATATATAGATAAATACTGACAGATAGATACATACATATTGATGGATAGATACTGATGGGCAGATAGATAGATACTTATAATCGGATAGATAGATTGATACCGACAGGCAGATAGATAAATATATAGATAGATAGATATTGACAGGCAGATAGATAGATAGATAGATAGATAGATAGATAGATAGATACTGACAGACAGTTAGATAGATATTGGCAGTCAAATTTTTTGGTAAGTAGATAAACAGATATATATATATATATATATATATATATATATATAGATAGATAGATAGATAGATAGATAGATACTGACAGGCTGATACATAGATAGATACATAGATGGACAGATTGATAGATGGACACCAACTAGCAAATATATAGATAGATAGATAGATAGATAGATAGATAGATAGATAGATAGATAGATAGATAGATATTGTGTTTTATATATGCAGATAAATAGATATATCCAGTCAGGTACATAGCTATCTGTTTAGATAGATATAGATATATAGCCATGCAGATAGAGAGAGAGTTATGTGCTTTATATCCACAACTTCATTTATTAGTAGAGTTACATATCAGTGAATCATACAGCAATGAGTCATTTTGGCCAATAGATCTAAGACATTATAAATACAAGTAACTTGCATGAAACATTCAGCTGTCTGATGCCCAGTGGGGTTTAATTATTTGGCATTTGATCATATGTTTAGCATACAATTGTGCATCAACCAAATTATACACTTCAATATAACACTTACATTCCATTTATTTGTTTATATAAAATTTAACATAATTCAATCTTTGTTTGTATGTTTACTTTATTTACATTGATCAACTTGTCATTGGATTATGAACTGGTGATGTTTCTGATTATTAAGTTTTGGTAAAACTGTATTATGTTATAAAGACAAATAAGAAAAGGAATCTGATAGGAAATGTTCAACTTTAATCTTAATAACAAATAGATTTTTTCATAAGTCATATGCATGTAATCTTTTCCTTTAATTTTTTTGTACTGATTTTTTTTTGTAAATATTGTGATAGCAATATATTAATTGCAATTATTTGTATAATTAATTATTAAAAAAAATGAGTTTACTTTTTGGTATAATTTTTACTGTAACATAATATTCTAACTAAATTTAAAACTGTGGGTAGTGTAATGGTTAACAGTGCAAAAATTGGAATCAGCAAGCTGAGTTCAAATTCTATTGCATTCACTTTCATTCAAATGTCTTTGGAAAATGCATGAATCCCTTTCTTCTTCTCCCAGCTATGTTAAATAGTAGTTAGCCGATTCTTTTTTCAGCTTATGTGGCAACCAATCTAATTGAAGGAAAATTCTGAATTGGAAACTATGGAGAAAGTAACAGGAAACCACTTCACTGTTTTCCCAAGAATTTGTGACAGTTCATTCATAATAAAATTAAAAAAGGAGTCTGTGGAGTGTCTCTGATTGCCAGAAGGGACATGAAAATTAAAAAAGGGATGGTTATTCACTCTTGAAATTGTAAAAATCATTTGGTAAAAAATGAACTTGCTTTTATAAGATATTTCCAAAATTCATATGTACTTGAAAGAAAATGAATAAATCAGCAAAGGAAAAAAACAAATTATTTCATATTTGTTTAGATTAAAATTTGCTTCAATGATCTGAATACAGATTATTTTTAAGCTATTTTAATTTTTTCCGTTAAACTTAAATCAACTCTTTTGCTTAAATTATTTTTAAACTACAATCTTTTAAAAGTTCACCTTAGTGCAAATATAAATGAATTTATTACACATTTTCACTTGTATGTGTTGAATAGTATTTGTTAGAATTTTTAAGATGAGAAATTATCATTATTATATGCCTTGCTATTCAAACCAACATGCTCATCTTGGTTTTTATACTCATACCCTTTCAGCTGCTTTACCCTATAACCTTTTTCAGGTGGATGTCTTTGTACTTGGTAACCTTCTTGGAATTTTACATCAGACCCTTTATTCAATTCACAGGGGTAAATTGTTTTCATTCTGCTTTAGGTAATACGTTTTATCAGTACTCACCAGTTTAATTCATCTCTGTGTCACTTGTCTATTTTTTCTATGGAACCAGAGTATTTCAGCACTACCACATCCCGGGATTGAACATACAACTGCAATGTGACCATGCTTACAGGGATATTTCAATATTTCAATTCCCTTAAGGTGATGGATTAATTTTGAAAAAATATCACTGATGATGTATGCCAGAGCCTCTGAAAGATGTATTTCATGAAATGAATCAACTCAGGTATTGATTCTTGAAATTGAATGCTTTTCCAGAATAATTGTTTCACTTCCTGATAGTCAAATGCCAATAGACTTTTGGATTAAAACTTAATACTTCTTAGTATATTATTTATTCTTTAATCCTTAATCCTTTCAACTCTTTTAATCTTTATGATAATAATAATAGCAAGTGTAAAATCCTATGTTTATTTCTTTTTTCCTCTTAAATATATATAAATAGCCAAATAATAGTGATATGAAAAATGATTAATGGGGTTATATGACTCATGTTAAGTTTTTGTGTTTCTTTTAGCCTGAAGCAGGATTTTCAGTTATAAAATTTGTGGGTGTGTGTAGAAAAAACAAATTTAATCAGATTTAAAGAAACCCTGAAAAAGTTGGTAATCTGAGTTAATAAACATAAAATGACCTAAATCATCACTATCATTTACCCTTATTCTCTTTATATTCCATTGGTAAAAAAGGGAATTGCTCTTTTCAAAAGGTTGTTTTAACTTTTATTGCTAAGGCTCACTATGCCATATTCACAGGTTCAAATCATCCTCATTCCCTCCTTATTCCATTGGTAAGAAAGAAATTCCACTCAGTTTCTTCCCAAGAAGCACTACTCTGTAGAACAGATTCTTGAGAGGATGTTTCCCAAATCACTACAATCTTAACCTCTTCAAGTCTAGGGTCAACTGTTATCTACTCTACATATCCTTATAATCTGCACTCCTCTTTTGTCCATGCTTCAATCTGTAACTTTCTATCTTGAGTGGCTCTTGAAAAATATTCTACTTGCTGTAATTTGCTTATTTTTATCTGTCATGAATTATTTAGACTTTTATCTTTGTATTTATTCTTTTGGTCCCAACATTTTTGCCAGTTCAATCTCCAGCCTTCCTCAGTATGCCAGAACTGATCACCTTCAAAGAGCTTTGAACAGAATCCTTTGTCATGTATGGTGATTTCAGTGCAAACTGATACTGAGCTTGCTCCCATCAAAAATTAAGAGGACGAGGAAAAAATGAAACACAACACAATATTAACATTTGGAAACATTGTATTACACAATATACAATTATACAATGAAGAGTTGCAAAGAAAGAGTGATGTTTGTAGCTTAACTAAAGTGAAGTTGTTGTAACTTGAAGAGATATATTCTCAGGGATCTTGGATAAAGTCCTTTCAGATCAGACTCAAGACTGCTCAAATTAGTCGATTGAAGGCTGCTGGAATAAAAAGATTGAGCTATCCTCTGGTAATTATTAGAGAATCCATTTAACGTTAGACTTCGATGGCCTGTCTGTCTTGATCAGAGTTTGAAGCAGAAAGTGAGTGAGCTAGGAGATTTGTCATTTGGTGCCAATTTGATAGAGGCCTATGATTGGCTGAACTGCACAGTGCCTCATTCAATCAAAATGGTACAAAACTTCTAAGAAACTGTTGAACAAGCAAGGGAAGTAACTCACTTGAACTGAAAAATATATATTTTTTTAATAGATGATTATATTTTTATTTTGTTTATTTTGTTTCTTTTACTCAAGAAAATAATTCCTAGATTTAAGTGATTCATTCTAAATTTTATTTACATTCAGATTATTGTCCTCATCTTTGTTGTTATTATAATAATGTTTCAGTCATTGTACCCTCTGGTTTTCTTCAGGTACTTTCAATCCAGGTAACCTTCAGGGAATTTTGAACTGAGCCATTTATTTAATCTACCACCATAGATTAAATAAAGGGTTCAGTGAAAAATCTGCTGTCCATGTCATTTTTATATATATGTCATAGTCAGATCTATGAACTGGTATCACAGAAGTAATGGCAAAGTAAACCAAAATATTTATTATTCACAGAAATAGTGAGGCATTAGACAATAGACATATCACAAGGACGATTTCATTAGATATATCAAAGGCCTTTGACAAAGTGAGGCATAGGGAGTTGCTACATAAGCTCTCCAGCTATGAAATCAATAGGGGAGTTTTCTCATTTATCAAGTCCTTCCTATCTAGTAGGCCCATAAAGATAGTTGTTAATAGCCAGTCTTCTGAGGCCCATGAGATCAATGTACGTATCCCCCAAGGTTCACCTCTCAGTCCAACCCTCTTTCTGCTTTATATTAATGATATGCCTAAGAGAAAACTTCAATGTCTTATAAATATCAATGCAAATGATACAATGGGTGCATTTCCAAAAATCTAGATGACCAGAGCCTGGAAATTGATCTCTCCTCTGACCAAACTGTAACAACTCATTGGGGGAATAAATGGCTGGTCACATTCAGTACCTTAAAAAGCAAACTATCATCACCAAACAGACACTAAATTTTTGTTTATTGCAATGAATGTGTGCTCTATCAAGGAGGCACCTTGCCTTGAACACCCATTGGGACTTAAGCTCATCCATGAACTTAAGTGGAACTTATATATATGATCCATCACTAAAGATACTGGAAAAATTGTCAGTTTCCTGTATCACTTTAATAAGTACCTAAATTCACCTGCTATACTCTACCTTTACTCAGACTGAAAATGGAGCACTGCTGCCATATCTGGGCTGGAGCTGCCCAGTTTTCACTTTCAAGTCAAAAATCACCTACAGTGCCTTGTGGGTGATGAATTATTTTCCACCCTACAGCCCCTTTCCCACAGACAAAACATTGCTAGCTACTCACTATTTTATCACTATTTCAATGGAAAATGTTCTCACAAGCTACATTCCTTAATTTAATCAACACTAACCCACCCAACTTAAACCCACCATGCAACTTACACTGAAGTGAACCACCCTCATTCTCTTCATATTCCATTAGTAAAATGTAATTTCCACTCAGAGAGATTCTTTCCATGACCTACTCCTTTGTGGACCCAACTCCCAAGAGTATGCTTTCCCAACTACTACAATCTTAACCTTTTCATGTCTACAGTTAACCAATAATCTATCCCACATATCTTCATAAACTGTGCTGCTTACTGTTTACTTTTACCACTCACATAACAACCTCCTTCAGTAACTATCTACACTGAGTGGATCTTGGACTTTTTATAGGGTGAACATTTGAAAAAAATATGCTCCTTATATTATATAAAAATTGTATGATAAAAATACTTTTTATATTTTTATTTAATAGATATAAATCTTCATCAGGCTTTAATATTATAGTTCATTTCTATTTTTACACAAGAGATGAACCAGGACGTGTCATTAATGCAAATTGTTACAATCAGTTATAGATCAGATCAAGACAAAAAAAAAGAGAGAAGAGAAGAAACATATGGTTACGTAGTTTCCATCCACCCCTTGTTTAAAAAAATTAGATATGTATGAGCTACAGTCTACATCTGAAATAGAAATTAAAAATGCAGCACAAATCTTTGTTCCTCAGATCTATGTTATAAATGGAGTGATAGCAGAAGTAAGTATGTCACATGAGTTATATATATATATATATATATATATATATATATATATATATATATATATATATGATATGAGATAGCAATATATATTTTTATATATCAAGAAACAATATTGAGGAAATCATAAGACAAAATGGAAAAGTTTACTTGTGATGTGTTAGGACTTCATCAGACTAGGTTTGCTGATGTTGTTATGACAACACGTGTATGAACGAGAAATGCTGGTAGTTTCAAAATTTTGAAAGAATTTTTTGCAATAATTTTTTGCAATCTAGCTAAATTCATCTATATTCTTTTTCTTTCTATCATCTTTGTCTTTAACTATCCCACATTGTTATAACAGAAAATCTTCTGAGAATGGTGATATGTTGTAAGAGCCTGGATGTAAATTTACTATGGCTGAACTAGGGATTAAAGCACTTTCCAGACATTTTTGTCTTAGTGAATTATTTTCTCTTTTAATCAGAGTAGCATTTTTATGTCAAAACTGTGATTAGTCAGTATCATGGGGATATATTAATAGGGCATCATCAGTATATCGGAAGTAAACCGGTCATCATTCCACTGAGAGGTGAGCCCATTAGTAATCCAAATTTTTGTTTGTAAAAATTGTTATTAAATGTGAAATAGCATTGATTGGTGATGAGAAAACAGATTTTCATTAATTTTGCTATTGCTATGAAGAGGTTTATCTTTGAGTATGTTAGATGATTTTTTAAGGGATTTGATCATTTTTCAACCGGGATATTGGTGTAAGTGGCAATGAATCTGTCAGTCATATTTGTTTCACGTAGTTTTTCAACAAGGTTGCCTGAATTTTTAATACATGATGTAATTATTGTTCCAAGTAGGGGGGTTAAAATTTATGCTATGGCTCTAGCTAGTTTGTGGAGGTGCTGCCTATTCCTGAAATGATGGGGTACCTAAGGATACCAGTTTTGTGGGTCTTAGGGAGGCCATAATGTTTGGCTGTTCTTGGGAAATATTCTATGAGTCTATAGCATGAATTGTTTTCATTTTTAATTAGTTTCCTGACTTTCTTGTTGAATTTTTGTCTTTCAATAGTTGTTTTTTCTTCATTTACTTTTTCATATGTGTTGGTATCGTTGAATAGTGAGTTAATTTTTTCTATGCATGTATTCTTATTTATCAATCCCCCTCCCTTGTCAGAGGGAGTAATGTGGATTTCCTTATTTCTTGTTAGGTTATTTAGTGCATCTTATGTAAATATATATATATATATATATATATATATAGTTTCAGTTTTCAGTTTTGAAATATAGAAATTTCTGTGTCGCGATGGAATAATATTTTTAAAAAAAGAAAATAATTATAATATTTTGCTTGACTGTTTTTATCCAGCACTGCTTTTTTAAAAATAAAAATAATGACTAAGAACACTGGATTATAAATCTTACTGTTCTTTCTTATTATTTTAATATATGTATATATATAAATATGTGTGTGTGTGTGTGTATATATATATATATATATATATATATATATATATATATATATATAGATTCCTTCTACAATAAGTTATATATATATGTATATATATAGAGACATATATATATAAACATAAATATACATATATATATATATATAATATATATGCATATATATGCAAGCATATATATAAATATATATATATATATATATATCCATACATACATACATACATATATATATATATATATATATATATATATATATATATATATATATAGCAATATATAAATATATATATATATATATATTCATATCTATATATGATTCCTGGTACAATAAGTGTTATATATATATATTTAGAAATATCCAGGTGATATGCATTGAAACACAGCTACAATTGTGTAGCAATTTTGATATGTTTTTGATGTAATATCCTAAAATAAAGTGTATCTAGAAATATATATATATATATATATATATATATATATATATATATATATATACATTTTTCATTAAAGATGACAGACAACGTACTGCAATTGAACTTTTTATTTAATTTTTCTTGTGTTCAGACAAGTGTTTTTCCTGGACACAGAGTGTGAAGAAATTGTCCAAATGTTCTGTGATTCTGAGTGCTTTTGGCTATACTTTAGCCATTATCAAGGATGATTTTATTTTTATTATGTATGAGTTGTGTGTATTTATCTAGAGTTATGGGGATGTTTTATTTTTTGAACACTGTCAGTACATTGTGGCCATGATCATAGTTAATATTATTGAGTGTTGGATTTTTCTTTTTTATTATTAAGGCTTCCATTATTTTTTATTTTTTTACATGTGAATGAGGTTATTATGCTTGTATATTCTACTAGTATATTTTGGATGGAGTATGGTAGGTTTATGTGTGTGTTTAAATGAGTTCTAATGGAGTTGGGGTTAGATAGGTGTAACGTAAGTTATCTGGATAGGCATATTGTAGTGTGACCAATGTAATTATTTGTGAGTTTTGTTTGGTCAGAAACACAGTTCCTTATACGGCATTTGAACTTGTAAATACTGTTTGTTCTCTGTAGTTTTGATTTTGCAAGTGTGTTGCTATTTTTGTGGATAAGGTTAGCTGTTTTAAATTTTTTGTAATAGATAATTAATTTAATTTTCTTATTCGGATCAACTGAAGTAGTGTATTTCTTTATTATATTTCTAAATGGAGATTCATCTTGTTTATAGTTGATGCGTATTTGGCTTTTATAGAAGATATTTATGCTATTGTTTTCATTGTTATGTTCAGTATCATTATTAGTTACTTTGGAAAGAAATAGTCTAATCTGGTGGTCAATGAGGTGATTAGGATAACCATTGTTAACTACTGTTTGCCTTACATTGTTGAATTCTTTAAGGAAAAGTAGGATGAATT